AAAGAGTGTCTCAGGAGGCGTGCCATGAGTTCTTTTCTAATAGAGAGGTAGAAACTGCCTGACAGGGGAAGTGGAAGGAGGTGCTGTACGCAAAGGAGAGAGAATGTCCAAAATCAGCCAAGTGAAACCTGGATGTGTAGAGAACTTCAGGGCATGAGAGAATGTTAGAGATATGGAGTAGGGGTACACAGAGGCAGAGGGCAAGCAGAGTCCCAGGATCCTGACTCAGGCGCCAGTGAGCACGGTCATGTTCACGAAGGGTAAAAAAAAATACACTTGATCACATACCTCATATCTTAGAGGAGAAAATAACTCAAAATAGATCAGAGACCAAAATGTAAAACATAAAAATATAAAATTTCTAGAAAAACACATAGGAGAAAATCTATGAGCCCTAGTGTTCGGCGATGAATATTTTAATAAGATAAGCACAACTACTGAACAAAAATTGATGAATTGGACTTAATCGAAATTTAAAAAATTTGTTCTATAAAAGATACTGTTAAGAGAATGAAAAGACAAGCTGCAGATGGAGATAAAATATTTACAAATCATACATCTGATAAAGGACTCATCTAGCATAAAAAATCCTTAAAACTCAAATAGAAGAATACAATAACAACAAAATGAGAAGATCTAAATAGACAATTCACAAAAGAAGTTATACATGAAAAATGAGCACATCATTAGACATTAGATTGTCTACTGACAATCACTTCTCATTACAGAAATGAAAATTAGAAGCTCTACATATGTTAGAAATGGCAAAAATGCAAAAGAAAAAAACTGACAATACCAAATGCTGGTAAAGACATGGATCATGAGGAATTCTCGCTCATTGCTGGTGAGAATGCAAAATGGTATAGTCACTTTGGAAGTCAATTTGATAATTTCCTAAAAAGTTAAAAGATGTAGCATATAACCCAGTGATCTAATTCCTAAATGTTTTTGCAAATGAATGGAAATCTTATGTTCATATGAAAATCTGTATGTGAATTATTACAGCAGTTTTATTCATAATAGCCAAGCATCAGAAGTGGCCAAGACGATGAATGAATAAACAAACTGGTACATCCGTAAACTGTGAAACTATTCAACAACAAGAAAGAATGAGCTGTAGATTCGCTCAATGACATGGATGAATATTAAATGTATTTTGCAAGTGAAACAAGCCAGACTCAAAAGGTTACAGATTCTGTTCATATAACATTCTGGAAAGAGTAAAACTATGGACACAGAAAACAGATCAGGGTGACCACTGAATGAGGAAGGGGAGAGTGGCTGACCGTATAGGAGATGCCAAGGGAAATTTGTAGGTAATAAACCATATTGTGTTGTACTGGGGTGCCAGCAACATGCCTCTACGTATTTGTCAAAACCCACAGAACTGTATATCAGTGAATGAATATTAATGCGTGCAATTTAAACCAAACCAAACCAAAAACACAGGATGTCAGGGAATCTCAAGATAGAATGCAGACTGTGACAAATGAACCTATGTGAATTATAAATGTATGGCATAACCTCACTGAAAGAGGTGGAGGAAAACAAGCTGACCTGAATAACTTTGGAGAATGGTGTTTGGACTGCACACTGTAAGCTATAGACAAAAATAACTACAGTTGACACTTAAACAACACGGGGGTTAAGGGTGTCCATCATCCGCGCAGTGGAAAATCCCCGTAAAACTTAAGTCATCTCTCTGCATAGCAGATTCTCAACTGCAGTTCCAAAATTTGTATAAACACTGTACTCTCTAGTTGGTAAATCTGTTTCCCAGGGGAACTACTTTACATGTGACTGAGTTGATAAATAAATAATGTGGAGGAAGGGACAAATTATTTTAATAGAGGATCCCAAATAATATATGTAGGTGCTTCTCTCCTTGAGTGTGGGCTGGACTTGAGACTTACTGCCAGGGAAGAAAGCACAGAAAAGGAAAAATAACAACTCTGCAGTGAAGAAATCTTGTTCAAAGTTGCAAATGACAAAAAATAAGGCAAGACTGAGAAACCATCACAGGCCAGAAGAGACTAAAGGAATATAACAACCAAACAGGATAGGCTACCCCAGATTAAATCCAGGGAAAGATAAGGAACATGAATGTTAAGACTGGTGAGACCCAAATAAAGTCTGGAGTTTAGTTAGTAAACTAAACTTGACACATGTAGCGCAGTGATGTATGATGTTAACATAAAGAGTAACAGGTGAAGAAAAAGTATACAAAAACTATACTACTTACATAATGTTTCTGTAAACCTCAAATGATTCTAAAACAAAGTTAACTTAAAAATGAACTTCTGAAGTTTCCTTTGAAAGCTATACAATAAGTTGTTAAATGAGGTATCACAATTATACCTATAAAAATATTTAAATAAAGTAAATAATTCTCCTAATGCCAGTATTAACTTGGGATGTGGGATAAAATCTTTTACATCAATCATGATTCATCTCAAGCAATACAGACAGGAGAAAATATGAGGTGGGTACTGTATTAGATGATGACAATGTCAAAGTTGAATAACTGAATAACATTAATTCATGTACTGTCAGAAAGTATCATTAAAAAGTTCTAGTCAATAAAAGACAAGTAAAAGATACAATAAAGACTAGAATATATTTGCAACATATATAGTTAATAGAACATTAATATAAAGAATGTATAAAATTTCTTAAAAATTTAAAGCAGGAGTACAAAATCCTTATAAAAAAAGACAAAAACCCATGAACTTACACTTCATAGAAGATATACATTGGCCAAAAAACATGAGTTCAGCCTCAATGGAAATGAAATGTAAATAAAGACCAAAGTGAGAAACCACTTTGTACCCATTCAATTGGATAAAATTATAGAGCAGGACAATATTAAGTGTGGAACATGATGTAGTCTATGAAATCTCTTATTCATTGCTGTTGAAGTTAACAAATTTGTAAAACCACTTTAGAAAACACTGTGTAACATCTTGTAAAGTTGTTTTCCATCATCTAGTCATTCCGCTCATTAAAAAAATTACAACTCAAACTCCTGCACATGTGGATGAATACACATATATAAGGTTCTCCACAGCAGCATATGGTAACCACAAAAAAAAAGGAAGAAAGTATATTTTATTGATCAATTTAGAGTCATCAGATTTTTTTGGATATAATTATGGAAATAAGTAGATGTCCACAAAAATGGACAAATACATTGGGATATATTGATGTAACAGAATATTTTGAGAAGGAAAAAAACTACAGCTAACATACCATGATTCTTAGTAGTATAATGCTGAGCTCTAAAAATGCAAGTATCAGAAGACTACATTAATGCCTTAGTCCATTTGGGCTGCTATAACAACAGACCACTGACTGGATGGCTTATAAACAACAGAAATTTATTTCTCCAATTTTGGAGGCTGGGAAGACTAAGATCAAAGTGCCAGCATGGCTGAGTTCTGGTGAGGGCTTTCACAGCACCTTTTCACTGTGTCCCCACATGGTAGAAAGGGCCAGAGATCTCTCTGGAGAACTCCTTCATGAGGGTTCTCTCACAGCTTAAGCACCTCCCCAAAGCCCCATCTCCTAATGCCATCATCTTTGGAGGTTAGGATTTCAATATATGAATTTTTTGCGAGACATGTTCAAACAACAGGAATCAACTATGACACTGTTTATCAGAAGTTAAAAAAAAGAAAACAATACCATGCACTGTGTAAATATGCTTACAAATAGGTATGATACTATAATAAAACCAAGCAATAAACTGATAACTAGATGAAATAGACAAATTGTTTGAAAGATACAAAATAACAATACCAACACAAACAGAAAATCTGAAGTGTGTCATCTATAAAAGAAATCCAATTTATAATACAAAACACTCCCATACATAAAGTAACGAAATTATAAAAGCAAAGTTAAAGAACGTGATTCTCCGTGGGGAAGGGAGAAGATGGGAAAGGGAAGAAGTATATAGATTGACAAAAGATACTAGCCATGTTCCTGTTCTTGCATTGGCTGATGGTATTCATTATAACTTTTTTAGAGAGAATAAATGACTGGAAAATTTTTTAAATAAACACAACAGCTCATTGACAAATGTTGAGAGTGTGTTACAAAACAAGGTTTATGATTACCATGACTCTTGTACATCCGTAGGCAATTACAAATGTTAGAAGCCGACAGAGTACTGTGCTTAACGTCACAGTACCTGGAGACAATCAGCTCAGGCTCAAAGCCCAGCAACAGCCTTGCTAGTTTTGTGCCCTTTGGTAACTAATCAACTTCCACAGGCTTCTGCTCCCTCATCTAAAAACTGGGGATAGAAATAGAGCCTGCTTCAAATGAAATAGTACATAAACAGTGCTTAACAGTGTGAGCACCGAAAAAGCAATCAATATTGTTAACTACCCTGTCTATCTCATGGCTTTGATATGAGACGCAACATCCCTGAGTTGAAGCTGCAGAATGAAGTAGAGGTGGGTCATTCTGGGAGACTAAGAGTAAGAAGAGAGGGCTGTGAGAAGCCAGGTGAAGCCAATATTGAGGGAGTGATTAAGGTAAGAGGCTGACAACAGTGCAGTCAGAATTGGAAAAGAGGGAGCAATGGGACTAAGCGCTACCAAAGATCAAGTGCAATAAAGCGGAACAAGTTTTTTCCGCACCGAAAAGCGGTCAAGAGTGGTGAAGACTCACTTCAGTTCAAATCCTGTCTCTACCAAGCAGTCATCTTGACAGTTGTTAACTGCTTGTAAATCTCAAATTTCGTATTCGGAAAAACTGGGAGACTCCTAATTTACTAGTTGCCGTAAGCATAAACATTACCTATAAAGTGTACAACATGCTGTCTGGCACAGCATGATGTTCGGTAAATTGTGGGTCATTATCCATTGTCATTATTATTGTTGTTGTTACATTTGGCATGTAGGATAAGAACAGCAGCCTTAAAAAAAAAAAAAAAGGCAGGGGAGATATCAAGTGCTGAAGAGGATGTGGAACAATGGGCACTCGCACATGGCTGCTGGGAGTGTGGAAGGGTGAGGCAAAACTGTTTGGCAGTTTCTGTTCAAGCTAATCATATACCTACCCTAAGACCCAGTCATTCCATTCTTGTATATACTCCCACCAAAAATAATGAGAAGATGAATATATGTAATATCAGACGCAGGAAAAAAATTAAAGTGGCAATGACAGGAGAAAGGATACACTACGAGCCTGCTGAATACCGAGTAAGAACAGTTCAACTGTATGCAGCTACGAGAATGAATCTGACATACTGATGATCAAAAGCAGACAGACATGACAGACTATCCAATGGGGTTCCATTTCTATTAATTCAAGAACAGTCAAAACGACTCTGTGGTGATAGAGTCTAAATACTGGTTACTGGTCTAGGAGGAAGTATGAGAAGCCTTCCGAATTGCTGGAAGTACTGTATATGTTGACCTGGGTGGTGGTTACTTGGGCTTATATCTGTAAAAATTTCTCAGACTGAACTCTTAAGATACATGCATATTGCCATATATAAGTAAAAAAAGAAATAAAGAGTATTGTGGAGCTAAGGAAGTCAAGTGTAGACAACTTTTCTTTGAATAAGAACTCCTCCAAGAGTTTGGTTGTACAAATGTAGTGGTCAATGCCACTCAGAAACTGCCATGGAGCCAGGACTGTTGTGTTTTATTTATCCCAAGAAAGCACCCTGAGTATGTTTTTTATGTTGAGTAAAGAAGATAAAGATACAAAAGAAACAGAAAACAAGTGAAGAAGCAAGGTCCCTGAGAAGACAGGAGATGTGATTTGGTCTCTGGTGCAGGAAATGGCCATGGCAGAGGGCAAGACCTCTGCCATAGAGATTGAAAAGAAAGCTACAGGTGTGAGACAGACGGATAAATCTGTAAGGTCGAGGAACAAGCTCAGGACATGAAGTAGGTTGCTTGCTGAGACATCGGTGGCTGACGGAGTGGTCGATGTTTGGATCCATGGTTGAGTGGATAGGGGAGCTGGTACAGGAGACAGAGCTGACCAGAAACAGAGCGCAGATGTGGGCCGACCAGTGAGCAGTGTGTTCACGTCATCCTGGCAAAAGGTGATGAAGGCCTGGACTAGTATGTTAGTGGTGGAGCTCACGGAGGCGGTGGAGGTGATAGATTTACTTGATGTGAAAAACATAAAATAAGCAAGACGAGGATGGCTGAGTGACAGGGCCATCCAGTGACACTGTGGAGGATGAAGGAGTGGGAAAGATCATGATTTCCTTCTAGGCATGAAGAATTTGATGGAACATGTGGAATGTAATTGAAGGATAAGTGGAAGAGGCTCAGTTGGGCTGAGAAGGGGCTGGCTAGAGCTGGCTGAGCAGTGCAAGGAAGGAGAGGGGCAAGGCCATGGCTCTGCAGTGGCACCAATCAACACACTCGACGACTCCAACTGCCCTCAGTAGCCCACATATGAGACAGGCAAAACCAAATGTTACCTTGAGGTTTTACAGTAAAGGAGGGACAGGAGGCCAGTGGAGCTAGGAATTGCTTCTGCCTGACAAGTGGGAGGATGGGTGAATGGAGAAGGGTGGGATGCAAAGTATAGGCAGATAGAGTAAGATAGGCTCTTTTCTTCTGAGTCCAGAAGGACATGTGAGATATTCTGCATTGTGGTTGATATCATTACATGAAAGATCCTAACAGCTGACTTTTGTGGAGCTCCTTACAGCTCAGGCACGGTGCTAAGCAATTTCATGCATTAAATGATTACATCTTCAAACAACCCAATGAGTTAGAAATTCTTACCACTTTCATTTTTCAAAAGTAGGCTGAGTGCAGCAGACCGGGCTGATGTAAGCCAAACTCATCTGCTCTTCTCCTTGGGCACACAGCTAAACCTCATCTCTCTGCTGCATCCAAAGAGAAAAGGACAACTGCTGAGTTCTCGAATAGAATCTGAGGGAAAGCGATGTGTGTGTGTGCAACTGGGCGTGACTCTATCCTTCCTCTCTTGTTTCTCCTCTGCCAGCAGAATGATGCCAGGATAATCATAAAGCCACATATGACAGAAGGCACATGGGTCTCTGAATAATGTGATATGAACTCCCACGCTGACTGACATGGACCCTGCCATGAGTGAGAAAAATATTTTTCATGTGTTGAGCCACTGAGATTTTGGAGGTTATCTGTTACTGCACTGAGCATTAACTCAGCCTAACTTAGCTAAATGAGGCACGACAAAACCATGCCACTTCCCTATTGTCACAGGGCTGGTGAGGGGCCAAGGCAGGTTTGAAGATCAATCAATTGAAGCCCAGAGCCTCACTCTTACCTAACAGGACAGGTTCTTTACCCAGTGGCAGTAAAGAATGTACTGAGGTAAGAGGACAGAGGGGCCTCAAGACGAAGGGCTCTACACCGACCCACGCACCCAAGGAGGTCGCAAGAAGCTTCTCACGGAATTCCAGAGGCAGTGGTCCCCTCACAGCTAAGGCTGCCATGACACCCACTGCCTAAATCTTGGCCACCCACCTGGACAGACACTTCGGGAGAGGCCTCTCTTCACCATCCATAGCTCCTGCCTGTGCTCCGGTAGATGCATTGGCTCTAATTGGGTAACTGGATATCCTGTTTGTGGAGAAAGAAATAAGATACGCACATTTTAGCAAAGACAAAATGAAATGCCTCAGTGCCGTCTGGGACTTTGGGATGGAGAGGATGCCTTGGAACGAGGCTGCTCTTGTCCAAGTGGACATGTGACCTGGAAACCAAGGCCAAGAATATCATCATTGGGCTCTAAAGGCCGAGTAAGGTAGTGCTGGCTGTCTAGGCCGACCCATCGCCCTTGACTCCACCCCAGAGAAGCTCCTCAATTGTTCAGACGCAGTCCCGGGACCTGAGCGCACCAGTGATCACAGAACATTAATTATTACCATTGCTATTAATTGCTTTTTAAAATACTGACCAATAGTCAAAAGGGCATTAAAAAAGACTCAACACAAAACAGATACTTTCTCCCTAAACATTCAGTAAGTAGGAAAGGAATGGCTTTCTCTGATTGTCCATCGATGCCATTTGTCGTTTATAACCCCTTAAATGACCTTGCATACCAAGAGAGGATCGCGGTCTAGACTTTAGGACACAAGGGAAGAGCAGGTAGGCATCAGGAGCCACAGAATCCTTTAAAATGAATTGTGATGCCTAGAATGATAGTAGGACTCACAAAGACGCCTCCTGGTGTCTTGTCTGGTTGACCCATTTTCTGAATGAGTCTTGCTGACTGGGCTGTGAACCAACCAAGCCTGGCCACTCAGCTTCCATCTTGTGGGAATCAGGAGAAGGGACAGACTAGGGCCAGCCTGTGCCAAGCACTGCAGTGAGAGGTGAAGGGAAGTGTGGCCTCAGGTGGCTGTTTCCTGCCACTAGGACATCTGCACAGAGACAACCAGGCAGAGAGGAAGACAGAGAAATGAAAGAAAAAAACAGAAGTAGAGATAAGAAATTGAAGGGTTTCTTAGAGCGAGGACGGGGGTGGACACTTCATCTCCATGTGGCAGAAAAAGCCAAACTGCTGAGAGTGGCACAAGGAGACCTACAAAGAGACATAAAGATCAGAAGTCCCCGAGGCCAAGATCTAATGAGGATTTCTTCCATTTCCTGAGTTTAGTCTTTCAGGTTCCCAACCGGATATCTTGCCTTTGGATACTTAAAGAAGCCCATATATCCTCCTATAACTCCTCCTCCTTTGGTCTCGGAGATATCTGGAGGGGAACTACATTTCTTGCCCAAAATTCCCTGTAGGAGATTATAGGAAGACAAGGCAGGAGAAGGTAAAAACCAATACATGTTGGGGCTGCGGGGATCCTGCAGAAATCTTCTGAACAAAAAGTGGAATGAAGAAGGCTGTAGGTCCCCACAGAAAGGAGCAGTGAGGCCTTACCCAGGGAGATCAGGAGCCTACAGGTCTCCAGCATCACTTCCCAGTATAGGGTCCTCTGGGCAGGGTTCAGCTGCTCCCACTCGTCCTGGGTAAAGGTCACTGCCACGTCCTTGAAGGTAACTGATGTCTGAAAAGTCAAACAGAGGTAGCTTCGTTGGCCCAGGGCAGGTGAGATGAGAGTAGAACTCAATGCCAGGTCACTGGTAAAGGACCATTGGGCCTAAGGCCAGTATCAATGAGCACTTCCTGGGAGCCTAGCTTTGTGCCAGGTTCCAAAGAGTCAGACCTGCCATTGGACAGAATGTGACTGTGTTAGAGACAAAAGCTTTTTATGCCAAAAGCATTCATGAAAGACACAAGGCAATGGCATGGCTGTGATACCTAAGAGGCATAGACAGCCAGCACTTTGGGAATGAAAAGAAATAGGGAGGACATGACAATGATCAAAGCACTAATCACGACAAAAGCAGCAGCAGTTGAGTCCCACTGGTCCTTACTGTGTGCCTAAGCCATGCTGCGTCTTCCCAACCCATTCCAGTTCTAGAGCGAGATTCTGGCTTTGATATGGCCTACTGGGAATAATACCCACCTTCTATAATCTGAGGGAAGTCAACTTATTTCTCTGATCTCTGATTTCCACATCAATATAGTAATAGTTCCCACTTCACTAGGTGGTTGGACAATTGAAGAAAATATGTTCACGAAGCAAACACTGGAGTGCTTGGCATGTTTTCCCTATTTTCATGAATCCTCCACAGCTATGATGTAAACACCATCCTCAGCTCTAGGGCACAGTCAGTGACCTGAGGCTCAGCAGCTCTAGCAAGTCACCCAGAGTCACATACGTTCCAGGAACACAGACAGAATTTGAACATCCATAAAAGACCACACAATCTCACCCTCCTGAGACACGTCTCAGAAATACTCCCTGCCAGTATATATACACCTCTATCTGGCCGGAGGTCTGCCATGCCCCCTCGTTCCCAAGTCCACATGCCAAAGGAACACCTCCTGCCTTGCAAAGTTTGCATTAGGTATAAACTCCAGGCCTTCCCAGTCCACTGCGGGTGAAAGGATGATTAAGGAAGCAGGCTCTGGTGGTCAGTGTGCTGGGTGTTGACTTTGGCTACTTAGGGGCTCTGTGACCTTTGGCAGGTGTGGGGTTAATCTGGAACATAGCCTCTCCATGTACTCAGAAGACAGATGGCTGCCTGGTCAGCAGCCATAAGGAAGGCAGTGAACTAAGGGCTCTCGGCAGTGCCTGCTCCCATGGACATTATCTGCTTAATCCGTCTGAGAAGGCGGCTGCTCCCCCAATGAGATAACCCCTCTCTCTGCTTGTGTGTATAAAACGTTGCTTCCTCTTAGCTGGGTGCAGTATTTTGCAGCTCAGACCAGCCGCCATTGGAGCTCCCGGGCCTCGTGTGTAATAAACGGCATGTCTGACCCCTTTGGTCCTCCCTCCTGGTGGTTTTTTGGAATATCCAAAGCCCAAGTGCAAGTTCCAGGCCTGGAGCTCCTGTGTTACAGCAGGCCTCAAGTTCCTTGTCTATACAGCAGGGATGAAAAAAGAACCAAACTCTGAGCAGGTGGAGATAACTCTGCCTCAGCAGAGCAAGTGCTAAACGAAGGCTTTTAGTGGTTATTTTTCCTCTTTGCTCCCAGAACACTCTGGAAACAAACAAAAAAACCCAAAACAAATGAGACTCCATTTCTGCTTTTGTAACTGTACCAGAATCTGTACACAAGACTTCAGAAGATGGGCAGGTCGGGGCAGGGAATACTTTATCTAGAATTAGCAAGGCCAGGGAAAGGCCCTTCCGAGAAGTGACACTGGTACGGAGCTGGGAAGGAAGAGGCAGCCCTGTGGAGATCTGGAGGTGGTTTTCCAGGCTGAGGAAACTGCATGGGCAAAGCCCAGGAAGTGAGAAAGAGCTTGGAATGTTCAAGACAGCTTAGCTGGAGAGCAGTGAGCAAGGAGGATCAGAAAGAGAACTGAAGGGGAAGGGGCAGAGCTGGGTGGAGATGAAGTAGAGCCTTGTGGGCCATGGCAGTCCCTGGAGAGGAGTCATTCACTCATTAACCACAATGGAGCGCTGGTCACAGGCCCTGTACTGTTCTAGGCCTGAGGATAAAGCAGAGAACAGGAGTCCAGGACCCAGGAAGAATGCAAAATACTATCTCGAATAGCCTTGAGGATTCTACAGACAACAAAACAATGAGGGCATCAAGGACTGGGAAGACTTTAAATGGGGTGAGTGGAGAAGGCCTCTCTCAGGAGGGAACACTGGAAGGAGCAAGAAATGAAGTGAGAAAGGGAACCACATAGACAAATAAACAAGACAGGTCCTGACAGTGATTAGGGTTATGACAAAAGTGAATAGGGTGCCAAGCTAGAGAGCAATCCAGGGCTGTCACGTGTTTATGTCTAAAAAGACAAAACACTCTTGCACATCATCATTACTGATGTTGGTATGAGAAACGTCCAAACTTATAGAGAAGTTTTAGAAGAGTTTATTTGAACCAACTTGGCAACACTGCCAAGAAGTAAGATCTCAAATACTCCAGAGAATGCCAGTTTAGCAGTTTCTTTTTATACATGTAGAATTAAGGAGAGAAGTAAAGATTACACAAAGGTGAGAGAGGCTACTAAACAAGATCATGTGCTCCCTTGTGGGTGGTTACAACATCCAGGTGGGTAGGCATGCCCAGTTAGGAATTTGTGATCAGATCATCCAGTGAAGTGACTTTCAGTCACTGATTTATTATAGCACCACTTTGTTCATTCACACTGAATATGTAATGGATTTGCTTTTCACATGTGTCTTAAACATGTGGATTGATTCACTGTCGTCAGTAGCATGTCAACCCCATTTGCAAGATGTCAATTGCCAAAGATGAATTTAGGAGCCTTCTTGGCTCTCAGCCCGACCTGTGATCTTCAGTGCTTCAGCAGAACAGCAGCAACTCCAAAAGTGTTCTTCCCATCCACCTTTCCCCCCAGGCTATCTACCTCCCACTCCACTCATCACTTTGTAGAGGCCAGAGCCCAGGAAGGCCCAAAGGCTGTGGGCGCCAGGCCTGGCTGGCCCAAGGTCTGGCTGTGATCCAAGGTCTGGTTGTTATTAAAGGCCTGGCTGATCCAAGCCCTGACTGGCCCAAGGTCTGGCTGGTCCACGGTCTGGCTGTGATCCAGACTCACGGCTAGGAATAGGACCCCAGATTTAGAAAATATGTAAACATACTTCAGTTTATTGTATCACACATGTGTGACTGAATGCCACTTTTGTACTCTGCTCTGTGAGGAGCCATGTGGCCCCTGGAGAGCAGAAGTGCGTGCAATATTGTGCGCCCCCTGCAATAGACTGCACTTCCCAACAGAAGTGTGCTCCGCACAACAAAGTTGGTAACTGCCGTTTCATTCTCATGTCGGCCTCTTGTGCATTCCTCCAACTGGGCGTCTCACCACCTAAACCGTCCCTTTTCAATCAGCAATGGCGCTGACACTTGTCGTAGCCGACATGATCTGCTCAGCCCTGACAAAGGCCAGATCCTTCTTGGCGTGAAGCCTTAAGATCAACGCAGGCTCTGGCTAGAGTACAGAAAATGATGCACCCTGGGCCGTGCTGGGGGACAGACATATTAACACGAGTGCCCTCTCCAGTTCCCTTAACCAAGAGGGAGCAATTGTTAATACTCCCATTTTATACCTGAGGAGATACAGGCCAACGATAATGAGTGGACTCAGACAAGGCCCTGAGGTCTCTGCACTCAACAGCCCATGTTCCACCCAGCGAGAAGGTTTACGCAGATGGAGTGTATTGGAAAGATTCTGAGAAGCTACATTCCTTCCTTCCACTCCTCAAACGGGTGATTGCTAGAAAATAGAATCTCTCCAATCTCTGCAAACTCCGTCCTGGACTGCTATGGGCTGCCAGTGATCCATGCCAGGACACCCAGATCCAAGGGCAGCCAAGGGGAGGGTGAAGAATCCCCCAGGTAAAACCAGCTCCCACTGTCGGGGAGTGTTGGGTGAGGGGACTTGACAAAACGAAATGGACGCAGTCAGGCTCCCTCCCAGCAAGCCCGGCGGTTTCCCGAGGGCCTTAGCTACCGCGTCCTACGTAACCTTAGATACAGCGTCCTATACAACCTATAGACCGCATGCGCACTGTGATTGTGATTGATTATAGGATCTGGCCTTAAGCCACTATTGTGATAAGAACAGCCCCGCCTATGCAGGCTGGGGAGCTGGATGGGTGCTTGTGCCTTGCTGTCTCCTGCCTGATATGCCTGAATAAAGCTATGTCGCATCTGCCCACAGCTCCTCGCATATTCTTCCAGCTGCCAGAACAGCGCGCCCCAAACTTTGGTACCCCAAACTTGCAGAACAGGGCGCCAGACAATGAAGGTAGGAGTTGGAGTAGGTAGGGATCCGGGGCACCCTGCACTCACCTGCGCCAGATCCATGAAAGTTAACACGGACAAGGAAGTCCGTGTGCGGAGCGGAGCCAAGAGAGGCGGCGAGAGACACGTTCCTAAGGGCTCACTGGAACCCTCTTCCAGGTCCTACAAGGCGCAGAGATGGCTGTCCTCTTCTTGCCGTGCTTCTCTGCAAGGTGCTGAGGTGCCGCCTGTCCGGAAAAGCGGGTACGCACAGAACCTTCGGCTTTGAAGAAGAAAGTGGCCGGGGACACCAGAAATCCCACCCAACACTGCGGGACGCAAGAAACGTCCCCCTGACGGTCCCTTATTGGATCAACTATCACCGCTGCTTATCCGGCACAGACTTCTGGGTAATGTAGTTTCTCTTCTGCAGTTTCTCGCGCAGTCAGGAGAGGTTAACTCTTTTAAATCTCTAGTGGAACTACTACCTGAGTGGGTGGGGCGCAGGGAAATAGTGACTTTTAGAAGCTGACAGGAACTTCTATCCTCTTAAAGGGGAGGCACCCAGGTTTATGTGCAGCCCATCACAGAAAACCTTAAAGACACATGACTTCATATGCCCCTGTGGGAGAGGAAGAAAATTTTCCCTACCCTTAGGGTTCTTTTGGCTAGTTTAATAATTAAATCTACAAAAGACAGATTAACGAGAGAAAATGACCAAATTTAATACATATCTACTTTGAACAAAAAAGGGAGTATGTAGTAAATCTGATAAGCTCAGTGACCAAAGTAACCTCACAGGGTTATCTGATGTGAAGTCCTGACTGGGCAGGTCAGGGTGGGTAGTCACACCCCAGTACTATAACTTTTTAACAAACCTTTGAAACGCCAGAGTAATTCTCTTTTACAGACCCCTGGAAAGGGTAACCACCCTCGAAGGAGCATATGATTTTTTTTTTTGCCTGTATACTATCCTCATTTACTGTAAATGTTAAATGTTAACTGTTAGGTAGTTAGTCAGGCATGAGCAATAGTAGCCAAGGCCCAGCTCTGTAACCATAGAAAGGTCCCTTGAAGACCTTCCTAAAGGACCTCCCAGAAACACGTCCCTTTTAGGGTTATAAATTACCCCAAATCCTAGAGCATGAAGGCCATAAAAGCTGCTGGCTAAACCAGCTACAAACGCATGCACAGAAAATACTGCCCATAACTTCAGCCTCATTATACTATCATTATAATATGACTATGCCTGGAAGTTTATGAATCTAATTATAACACACTGAATTCTGGGTAAGTACATGCACAGTAGACAAAGCATTCTGTAGCAGCCAACTGTCAGTCAAGGTGACCTCACATACAGATCATCTAAGACCTCCCATCTCGGCCCAAAAATAAACAGACCTTCTCATTTCTGCACTGTTACAGCTCTCCTGGCTGAAAACCCACTCCTCCTTTTGGGGTGTACTGTCTTATCTCTTCATCTCCCAAATTCCACAGGGCTGCAGCCTTCCTTAGTGCAGTCTGTCTCCTTCTAAAATGTGCTTTCAATAAGTCTTACTTATTCTCAATCTCGCCAACCCGTAATTCTTTGCTGCAGAATTCTTTGCTTGGGAAGAATGGAGGGACAACATACAACGCCACCATCCTCCTTCTCCTCCTCCCCCACGCTGCTGGGGCAACGCTGGATTTCACATCACCCCAGCAGTGACATTAACTATCCTGCACTTACCAATATAAAAGACGTGTGTAACTCTCCATTTTCTTTTTATCCAATCCTAGCGATATCCTCATTTTGCTTTCTCTTGCCTTCTTAAACTACCAGCAATGGATTTCGTGTAATGTTTTCTCCTTTGATTCTATGTATAAAATGAACTGCAAAAGTTCCATTCTCTAGAGCATTTTTTCAATCTGTTGAGATTTTGCTTCTGTAGGCAGTCTTCAGCTATAAAATTTTTCTACAGATTTGGACAGCCCACAAGGTCTCAGTTGTCTTTGGCTCAGAATAATCTGCATACTACAGAAGCACATTCTGGGGTGACTGGTTCTGAACCCCCATAGTTCCCTCCTCTGAAATTTCCTGAGAAGTTTCACATTTCCAAAGTTGGGTTGATAGATTGTTCCCTATCTCATTAAACAGTCTCAGCCTGAGTTTAGGTCAGTTTAGTTAAACAGTTGTGTCTCATTTCAGGAGGCAGAGGTACAGGTGGGCATCCAAAGCAAGCAATCAAGTATTTAACAAGAATTATCTCTATGGAAACAAAAGGAAAACAATGGTTAATTAATAAAGCAATTATAACCCCATCTGCTGAGTTGTAAAGCAGCCAGTTGAGAAGATTTCTAGATGTCTGTCCCAAAGCATCTTCAGATGGAGTGGAAGCGGGAAGTTATGGTCTGATAGATTCTCCTTTTCTGCAATTTGAATGTCTCTAATGACTTTTCTGCAAGAGGCATGAAGATTGTCCATATGTGAGCTGCTGTGGTGATTTTGATGGTTTGTATCAAGTCGTCCCACTTTAGCTTGCATGGCTTTGGCAAAAGGGCAATTTTAATTCTCCATAATTCCAAGTCAAAGGATGGAAGAAAAAAAAGAAAATGTTAATTTAGAGAGTCATTGGCAGATTTTGGAGGAAATTGGGAGAACTCAGCATCCAGTCCAGAAAGGTGTATTACTGAAACATAACTTTTCTCTCTAAAATCACTCTCACTTTTAACATAGATAGCCAAAGTAAGACTAATTTATTTGCAAAATAAGTCTAATTTCAATAAACTTGTCTTGATTATGTGTATAACTCCAGCAAGAATACTAATTAACCATATTGGCTCTTTAAATCTGATTTGCTGGAAATTTTCATACAGAATCTTCAAATTGAACTTTAAATGGCCTCTCAAAGCCAGAAAAACTTGCCATCGGATATCGCCTGCAGTACCTATAGATGTGCATGAATTCCTCTCTTCTCAAGGTCTCCAAAATAGCCAGATGTTCCTATGCCTGCCTGGAAGTGACATTCTTTGCTAACCCAGTAAGGCTGTTGGGAAAATTGTAAGCAAGGTATCAGGCCAATTTTTCCAAGAGGCTTTTATTGGCTTCCATAAGTCGGTCTTAATTCCTTAAAGTTGTATTGTCATATCTGAGTCTATTCATGTCTCTCTCAAATATGACATTCCAATCAAAGCCTTGGGAATATAGCCAGTCTCCAATCGTGTCCTGTTGGAAGGTGAACAGATTCTTATTGAATTTATGCAAATAACAATATTGCCATGAAAATAACAATACTTACTAAAAGTTTCCGAATTCTGGAGGGATTAGGTAGGGAGAAAAAAAATCAATGTTTCAATGCTGCCTCTAAAGGTATAATTTACCATATTGCTCTAAGTCATAGCAAGCTTGAGAGAAAAAAAAAATTCCTCACATTTAGGAAAAACAAACAAACAAACAAACATTAACTGCAATGTTTCAAATAAGAATTCATAAAATTGTAATCAACCCCTCAGTTCATTTGGTCCCATATAATTAAAACTTGTTCTGCTTCCATCCAGTTTTTCCATTAGTTCTCTCAGCCTTGCCTGATAATTGAGAATGATAGGGTCAGTGATAATTCCAAGAAGTTTGCAAGGCTTTTTGTCAAGGTTCGTATGATTTGCCCAGTGAAGTGGGTGCCTTGATCACTAGAGATTGTGGATGGTGTATCCCAAGTGGGAAACACATTTTCTAACAGTTTCTTTTTGCCATTGTGAGGGCATTAGCCTTGTGGCAGGGGAAGGCTTCAATCCATCTGGAAAACATACATGCAAAAAGAACATATTGATAACCTGCACTAAGTGGTAGTTAAATGAGGTCCAGCTTAAATATACTATGGTGGATGAAGGAAGGCAAACACTGAAAAATGGGGTTTGCTGGGGAGCCTGTTTTGGATTTCCCATAACCCTATTTGTTTAATTTACAGTTATTGCTTACTCATACAATCTGAGAGAGGAGAGGAGGCATCTGAAAAAATGCAAAGGGCCTGCAGAAATAACCGACTCAGCCGGTTAAAACTGTTCTCTCTTCCCCCATTCTGCCCTATGCTCTTCAGTTAACGTATTTTCCACAGCTGCATCCCCCACCTCAAGGATTCTCCAGCCCCTTCCTTATCTCTGTAGCTGTGTATGAATGTCAAGACTGTGTGGAACTGTTTGTTGTGTTACAGTTAGAGCTCAGCCTTTGGATAAGGAACTCGCTGAGCAGGCGCGACATCAATGAGTGCAGCTCCCTGTCCGTAAGCTAGGAGTCCTGGCTCTCTGTTCAAGAATACAATAAAAGTGCTGATAACACCAAGGTCTCAGACTCTACAAGACAAATGACCTGTAAGACCAGGGGTCTAGAAATTCCTCCCTTGCAGCCCTCCCACCCAAAGCTTCCCCTCCCCACTCTGAGTAAGGAGGGACATGTGAAACCTCAGACAAAGGAATCACGTGCCCCTGCAAAGGTATATAAGCGGTAATAAATCCAACTAGAGCGAGCTCGCGCATGGAGTTGTTAACCCCACATGCTCCACCGGCCTAATAAATTCTCCTTCCTCTAAACAAAGTTGTCTGAGCATCAGAATTCCTCTGTCGGGTGTCGCTTCCTGCAACAAATCTATCCTAGAAGTTTATCGCCACTTCACCACTTATTTTACAATGCTTTCCATGCAGTTTAACACACCAAATAAGTCTAATTAGTTTAAAGTTTCTTTTTTAAAAAGAGGGATAATAAATCTTTTGAGATGTTCTAGGGACCCTGTGGAAAACCTCAGTTATTCCCAGGTTAACACTTTATAATTTGAACTCTGGGAAGTTTGTTAAAATATATCAAAAGGTTTAGACATTTAACTAAATAAGATCATAAGTCATTTTGAAACAGTACTTAATTATCTATTTAACAAAGTGACAATAGAAGACTTCAAAGAGGAATATAAAGGTTACATAATTGTTAGCAAAATTTAGTTCTTACTGTTGAGGATACTGAGTTTTCTTAAGTAATCAAGGACACGACAAGACAACATAGAACCCAAAAAATTATTTTGATAAAGACGAAATCTTTGCTTTCTAGCCAGAAAGCTTTTTCACAATATCTTATCAGTAGCAGACCAATAGTCCAAGAAAACTTTGTCCTTTTAACAGATGAAAGAATATTAAGTTTTAGTACTTTCGATATTTGTGGGGTTAATACAAAACATAACTCCTTCACATACTCAGAAGACCAAAAGGACCTCTAAGTCAGTAGCCCCAAGGAGGACAGTGAACAGTGACACAGGGCTCTCTCTGCAGTATCTGTTCCCAAGGACATTCTCTGCTGTTCCCATGGGAACTCTCTGCTCCTTTGGCTGTTCCC